CTCGAGTCCTCTCTGTTGCGACAACAGCCCCGCAATGCGATCAAGTCCCTCTCTGTACGTGTGTGTAGGAAAGAGAGCGAGCGAGAGAGAGAGAGTGTGAGTGTGTGTTGGTGTGTGCGTGCTGGACAAATTAAGGCTGTCTTTGGTTTGGATCTGACGCAGGTATCGTCTCCATGCGTGGGGATGTCAGAGAAATCCCAGCGTTCTCCGCGGACATGGTGGAGGCTTGTTGTCGTAGCTTACAAATAGCTGCGCACTTAGCTCAACCCAAGCAGGATAGTGACGTATTTATTATGATGCAGCCTTTTCAAGAAGAGGAGCCAGGATTTATGCATATTCTGCGTCGTGGGAATAAAAAGTAGCTCGGAGCCGCCGCCGTTCAGCCATTACTCGCACACTCAGGAACTGATTAACTGTTCGGAGGGTCACGGTCACAAACACACGCAAGCATGATTCTCTGTAGGCCTGCGGTTAGTGGCCAGCCCTTGAGAAAATATTAAAATCGACCGCCTGTTGGTGTAAAATACAAGCATTAAAATACATGATGAAAAAAAGACGATTAAAATCAGCAAATAGCCCATAAAACGAAAAAATAAAAATAAAACACATAGCATATCTTACAACAGAAACAGCCCTACACTATATATTACTGGTTTACAGACTAAGGTGATAATGATGAAGAAAGAGCTGGAAACCAGCTTACAGTTTTATAAAATTCCAGCGGACTTCTGTCGAGAGGGAAATCAGCCTACCTGCGGTTCAGCTTTTCTCCTGCAGAGGGAGCTCTACACATTTTTCTTTTCTGTGGAAAAGACAGCGGGCTACGTGCAAGAAACACGAATGCCAGAAAGATCTTGTTTGGCTCCAGACATTTGGAGAGCAATAGCTGAACTCACTATAAAAGCTTTGCTATCAGCAGGACAAAAATCTGAAATATCTTTTTTTTTTTTTCAGACGGCTTGAAATGAACACATCATTTGAAATGAACACATCATTCCCCGTTAAATTGATGCCTTGAAAGTACTTATAACTTAATTCTCAGGTTGATACACATGATTTTTAATGCTCTTCTGTTGTCAATTAATCATCAAATTTAGGTGAAATGATGTTTATTCTTTTTAACCCCTTCATTGCCTCTAGTATTATTTCAGCTTCATTCTTTTTGAGTCCAAGAACTTTAGTGCCTACAGGTGTTTACCAAGGGTAGCCTCATAGCAGAACTGACAACAATGTTTCTTACAACCAATGGCAATTTAGACAAAATAATATGACTATAATGTAGTTTAAATGTGAAAGGAATCAAAGCTCTGTCATGAAATTTGTTAAGGACATTTAAGTGACAAAGACCAGTTCAAAAGATTCAAAGACACAAAGTTTTGATGGGGAAATCCTACAGAATCATCTTGTTTTAAGGGACATTTTGGTTACTAACCCACATATAAAATATTTGATTAATTAAAAATTGACTGGAAAAGGGAAAATCCTCAATTTTAATTTATTTGTGTAATAATTCTGCACATTTATTAATCCCCTACATTTCTGTCCACATCAATATTCTCTTAAGAAAACCAAAGCCTCACTTCAATGTAGATAAATATCTACATTAGGAGTAATAACATTTTCAATTAACTGGAAAAACAAAATTTGTCCCATGACAAAAGCTCAAAAAAATACAATTTACCTAACTGTTTTACATATAGTGTAGGCATTTGAGTAGTTACCTGAATTTACACAAAAAGAAAACCCTTGTTTAACACACAAGGGGGCACTATATGATTGGTTCTTACAGAATGACACAATCTGTGACAATAAAACATTATTTAAACAAGATTAGTACACTTAAAATCATGCTCCCAAAACATAACAAGCTGTGTTTTTTTTCCTGCCTTATGTTTACATCAAGCACTCTTGACTTTTTATTGAGCATTTAGAGAGAAAATTAGAACAGACAAACTTTTCTAGATAAAATGGCAAATTTGGTGGTGTTTGACGCAGTATTGATACTGATCTGTCAAACAAAAGCAAATACTCACAGAAACACACAACTTAGAGATAACGGCTGCAACAAGGAGAACGTTTTTCTTTCTGTATTATGTAAACTTCATGTGTTGATGTTGGTGTGTGACTGACCTAAATATTACAAGAGAAATTGTCTGAAACAAAAGATTTTGAGAATGAAAAGATGTCTAAGACAAATAACTCTGCAGTCAAGAAAAATATCTAATTTAAAAAAAGCTACACAAAGCTACATTGGCTTTAGCATTTTGAACTTTCAAACTTATTTAACATCATTCCTTTTTAAAAAGTCAATTCATCCATGTGATGGTGGTCACAAGAATGCCTTTGATATTTAAGTGCATGTTTCTTTTTTTTGAACACTCTACCCTTTAAATGAAACTGTGCTCTCAATGTTAAGTGAAATGAAATGTGGGAGCAATTTTGGCATGAGCTATATGTGGCTTTGTTCCAAGCCCAGCAGTTGAGAAAGAGCACTTATTCTTCAATGAAACAGAGAAACACTTCAGTTTCAGCTCAAGTCCCTTCGCTACCTCTCTTTTACCACAAAAGTTTTATGTGACGTTAACGATGACGGGAACAAGGAGGCTGTTTGTCTTCAACATTGATGATACACAACAGCACAGATAAAGAAAGGACATTCCTTATGTAAATCATGCAGAGTAAATCTTGATTTACAGCAACAAAAAAATGGAAAATGTAATCAAATGTGCCGCCAAATGAGAAATTAAAGGGGAACTCCACTTTTCTGAATTTACAAGTTCAGAAAAGTGGCCAGGAAGAGTAGAGTTGCTTTTTAAACATTGTAAATTAAATGTTAATCAACATTTTGAAGTGTAACAATGGCACTTTACACTGCGTGTTCTTCAGCTTTATTTTTTTGGTATGTTTTCATGACGTAAAGCATTTTGTTGCTGTACATTAATGAAGTTTATACAAACAAACTTCATTGATTGCTTGCTTGCTTGATTGATTGATTGGTTGATTGATTGATTGATTGATTGATTGATTGATTGGGCCTTTTGTATCATGGTTGGCTCACTTGATCAATATCTCTCACACACTTTTTGTCCATGAATATTATCTTAGTTTCACTTCTATTTCGAGAACATGTCCCACATTAATTGGACTAATAAAATAAAATAGATGTCAATCTCAACTCTGTCAATTAACATTTGTTATCAATTATCTTTAGAAGACTGAAATTAGACTAGAATTTATACTATTTTCTCATTGGCAGCTCTGTTGAAATTGAAAGATTATTTTGAAACTCATCACATAAAATTGAAACAAGAATAAAATAAAAACAAATGGGAGAAAAAGAGAAATTTTTTTTTTCTAAATCACAGTTTTGTCAGTTAGTTGTTGATTGAACACCTTTCTTAAACTTAAATCATTGTTTGTTCTCCTATAATCAGAGGAACAGAGAAAGAAAAAGAAATGAGGGGAGAATAAATATGAACAGAAACGTTTCATGCTTTCACAATTTCTGTATCAAAACCCAGAGAGAAAGTGGTGATGACTTTGTACCAGTGTAGCACAGCAGTTGTAACATTATCAGAAACTCTTTACCCCATGTGGTGAATCCGCCCATACTAGGAAATGAGGCTTTCCTGTTGTTTCTTTTTCTTTTTTTAAGTCTTCCTGTGTAAAGGTTGAGATATGTAATCCCTACCCACTAGTGAAGATGAACAGAGCATTGTTCAGCAAAATGACTGTCACCAGATTTTCTCTTGTGTTCTCTGGCTGCTTAGTGACTCTTCTCATTTGGGGTAAGACACATTTATTTTCATCGTCTATTTATGTATTAGGGTGAAGCAATGTTTACTCTTCATCTAATTTCTCAATAGGAAATCTTTCTGACTTTACACAGGGAAATTACATTTAGAAAGAAAACAACTGGTATGGTGTAGGTTCTTCTTACATGCATAGACCAAATACATATCCAAATAAGAATTCAGTAATTATTTCTGATCATGTGTAAGATTGTTAATACTGTTAATTGTTAATACATATGAATAAGAAAGTTCCTCCTAATGTCAGAACATTTGTTGTTGATATGTTTAAATGTCCTTCAGTTTAATATATTAAGACTTCCTTAAAGAAGTGGGAGACAAAGGGAGGATGCACTGACTCCCCATTGCATGGATCTCGCTATTTCCTTCAGCCTCCACACTTTCTCACACATTGAAAAAGGTGTAAAAACAACTGTTGACAAAATATGAGTTCAATAACAAAAAATGTTATATTTTAAGTTGACCGTATGTCTTTGCACTGCCAAAATTTGAGTTTTCTTGTTGCAGGATGCACACATGTAATTTGTCTGGATAATGACAAAGCTACGGTGCAACCACTCACAACAGCAGAGAAAACAACAGGTATGTGTGAGTTTTTAAAAGAAAATCAAAAATAAATGATCTTGTACATTGTTCGATGCATTTCTTTATGTAGGGTATACTGAAACACAAACAATGGATAACAGTGAGTTTGAACTTGTTTTCTTTGAGCTGTTTATTGGGTAGCTGAATGACGCTAATCAATTCAAGTGCAGCGAAAAAATATTTGCTACCTTCTTAAAATACTAAATGCAATTTTCAAAAAGATTATTTCATTTATTAATTGAAAAAAGCAATCCACACCTATGTAAAATAGTATTTTCCTCCAAAACCTAGTAGTTGGTTGTGTCACCCTTGAGGGCAACAGCTGCCTTCAAGTCTTTGTAATAAGTGGCAATGAGTTTCTTACATGACTGTGGAAGAATTTGGACCCACTGCAGGATTGCTTAAAAGTAGTCATACTGGAGAGTTTTTGAGCATAAATGTAAAGTTATGCCATAGTTTTGTGATCAAACTTAAGTCTAGATTTTGATCAAAGCAATCAGAAACCTTCATTTTGTTGTTTTTGTTGAGGGATCAGATTACAACCTTATTATCAAACTTTTTTTTTTTTTTTTTTTTTTTTGCTGTAGCACATACTTGATTGTTCAAAATTTTCCAAAACCCAGAGCCCGAGATTATCACATTCTCACCACCATGTATAACTGTCGTTATGATGTTCTTTTAAAAAATGTTTTACACTAATTTTACACCAGATAAAATGGGATTCAGATAATGTGATCTTTCAGCTTTTTGCATGGCACAGTGTTTATATATACTTATTCAGTGTATACACTGTATATGTATATATAAACACGTATGTTTATATATACATTATATATACATATTGTAGAAAGTTTAGGAGGGATGGATCAATATGATTAAAATTTTATATATTGTAAAGTCACAGATGGTGAATATGGAAGCATTTGTCCCGGGGGCATGTTTGGGATCACTTCTTTGAAATTATTTGTTTGTCCTGGAACAAACAAAACCCAGATAACAGATCTCGCAGACTTCGTTTTCCGAGGGGACATCTCCTCGTGTGTTTTGTCAAAAGGATCCAAGATAAACTCCTGAGGAGGTCTCCACCAGAGGGGTCACCAGCAGTAGACGTGAGGCCCCAAACGGCTTCAGGGTTAGACGTTAAATGAAACCTCATTACGACACCCACTCACCCCCCACCTGGATCAACTTCCTGACTTTGTTCGTCATTCGCCCCACGCAACGTCAGTGATCAACGCATGAACTCAAAGTTGTGAAACAACTGAAACTTGGAGGAGAGCCCCTTTCGTTGTTCCTCATCCTGTGCCTTACTATTTTTTTCTTTCCCCAACTGTCCCCCCACCCCTTTCCCCTGCCAACACTCCTGAATGTGGGCTCCTCCTCTGCTGAAAAGACACATTTCCTGATGTCATTACCAAATCAAAATGCTGCTCCTCAGCAAACAGATGTTACATGAGGCTGAACATATAGTTTCTGTAACATCAATTTAAGCTGTGAAATGTAAACCGCAGATTTATACATGTATTTCTTTTTGAGTTTGATCCTCTCTCACTTGGCTTTTTAAGACTCCAAGAGGCAACAGTGAGGAACTATCTAGCAGATTTGCAAAATCATGAGTTCTTTATGAGATAAAAAAAAAAAACATCTAATGTGGAAATGTTATGTATTCCTTGCCAGCATAGATATGTAATGGTCTTTTGAGTGTCATGGTTGTTTCAGAATAATAACTTATTCTTTTGTTAAATTAACCTAAATATGAAATCGTGGCTGTCTGCACAGCACACCCTGCAAAGTCATGATTAAATCCACCCCAAAACACTAAGCCCTAAATGTTTACTTATGTTTCCTATTTGGCAGAGGCAGCCCAAAAGGCAAATAAATCACATGCTGTGAGCTGGCCAGGCCTTTTCGACTGTGAGAAACTGAGACTAAAAAGCAGAACAAGAGTTAAAGAGTAAAGGGTTTTCAGATGTGAGTCCAGCCCCAGCTTGGGTGTGCTCTTTTTATTTGGGAGAATAGAGAGGACAATCTTTGCTGCCTCCACCCCTTTAAAAAAAAGGAAGAAAAACTAAAAAAAAAAAAAAAAAAAAAAAGTTTGTTGAAGAGGCAAAGAGCTGCTGCCAAGGCGTAGGGCCATCAGACAGATCTTCCAAGAACATCTGCTATCTGCGGGTAACATTGTTTGGACATCTGGTAACCGAAGATAACCCTGTCGCGTTTCCTGTTATGCCTCGCTATACACATTCTGGAAGCTTCATCATTTGGGGAAAAGACACCTTTATTCTTTTTTTTTTGACATGAAGGGAGCTGTTGGTTTCATTGGGGTATTCCTCTCCTTTCTCTCTGGTGAGTGTGTGGTCTTCCTTTCACAGCTGCAGTAGCCTCAACAACAGTTGTGCTGGAAGAATTTGTGTGCTAAACCAGGCAAAGAAATGTCACAGTGATTCGAGTTGATTTAGCAAGATTGTGTGTTTTGTGTTTTCTGCCTTTTCTTGTCAGAAGTACATGTTTTACTCATTGAATGTTTTTCCATATCTCTCATTTAGAGATCTCAGGATACCAACTGCAATTTTGTAGGTGGCATTTCTTACATACAATGCTAATGTAACATAAGTCTTTTAAAAAAAAAAAATTAAATTCTGTTGTTACATCTTAAACTGCTCTTATCCTCTTTGGATGTTTTCTCACATACTCTCCTGTTCCTTCCACTTGCAGCTTGTCCGAATGATACCTTTTGCCACAGTGTTTGTAAGTTTTGCGAGGGTCGTAATGAAAAACCATCAATGGAGTGTCTTTCTGTTTTATTTGATGACTATCTGCATTTGTTCAATGAACAAATGAGATCACTAAACTCAACTGATTGGTGCGTCTGGGATAAAGTGAGCAGGTAATCTCATTTACAAGTCACTAACTTTTACATTAGAGATGTTTCAAAACATATGCTTGCATTAAATGTTCTTTCCCAACACATTTTTTTATTTGATTTTCTGCAGCTTCTACAGCGACTTTAGCACTTACACAGAGAGCCTATCTGACTGTCTGCGGATCCCATGGCCGAACTCACTAGTGGAAAAACTCTTTGTCAACATCCACTCTGCGTATTTCAAAACGTGCCCCACAGAGGAGTTTAGTGACCCACCACCAGGAATCGTGTTTGCCCTGGTGATCACTCCCATCTGTCTGATACCAGTTATGGTCAGCCTCGTGGTGATTAAGACCAAAAATGGGGACGGTACATCCTGATTTTAACACGAAATATGACCTTTTATATTCATTTTTGTCCATCTACTTTACCATGTTTAGACTGCTACTATTCCTTCAGTTCTCCAAAAATCCAGCAGATGTCTATGTGACTCAGGACTTAATGGAGTAAATGCTTTGCTACTTTGAAAGATGTCTGTTGAATGGCAAGTGTCTTCTTTGTCAATGAAATTATCAATGTACTGTGGGATAACAGTTTCCTTTTTACTGTATTTACACTTTATAGGGATGGTTCAGTATTTTGAAAGTGGGGTTCTTTGGAGTTGCCATCAGCTGTCAGTACCTAACCTCAGGTGGACAATGCTTAGAACACTTCTTAAAGATCCAGAAAGACAGAAAAGTGGAGTCCATCATTCTGAATAAACTCCAGTTTTTAAAGTTTCACAGCAACTCAAAATAGTTGCGTAGGTGGTTATTAGCCTATGGCCATTTATGATGAAAACTGTATTGATTAATGATCCACAATCGTAATTGTGACATTCTTAGCAGAAGAAAGATATGACCAATAAGTAAGATCTGTTTTGATGCTAATGGAATAGGATGTAAAATAGCCATAAAATTGCATTTTCTCAAACTACTGACCATGAAGATCTACTGACCATGAAGGTCAGTAGTTTGACCTTCATGGTCAAACCTTCATGGTCAAACAAAAAAAAATTAAAAAATGTTTTTGTCCTGGTTCCACTCGGTCTACATGTTAGCAAGACTCAACTTCTTTCCCTTTTCTTAAACAGAATGCATGCATTGATCTTTACTTTGTCGGAACACTGACTGCTGATAGTTACTCTGCAGAATCCAACCTCAATGTCCCAAGCTTTCACTTAAAGGAAAAGGCTGTGAAAAATTTTATTGTTTTTAAACAGACTTAGTTACAATGTTGCATTCTGTTTGTATTTGAAAGTTGGATTTTCTGATTTTCCAAACAGAAATACAACAACAATCTGTATAAAGTCTGAATTTTGACTTGGAAAGTTGGATGTGTCTGAGGAGTCCAGGATTCAGTAGACATGGCTATAGCACACATATTTAATTTTGGAGATGTAAACCCAGTTTAAAAAAAAAACAACAAAGCAATTACCGTAATCTTTTCGTTGTGATATAGCGCTGTACAGCATTTTATGGTGGACATGTTCATGTTTCAATGCAGAATATGGAGATAAATGCACTATTATTAAATCATATTACTGTTAGTGGTTAGCACTACAATTGGAAAAATCCCAGGGGTTTTCCAACTTGCAACTGTACCATGATTATTCCTGATGTGACTTCAGTCTCAGCTCCAGCCTCCAAAACAGCATAAGTATTAACTCAACCGGTGTCAGCACAATATTATGGAATCAAACCCTAATATAAACCAAAAACATATATTTAGTGTTGTTAGTGATGACAAAAGCTTCAGAGCTTGCCGTTGTAAAAGTGAAATAAAATTTTCAGTGACAGTCCAGATGTTTGGAATGAGCTTCGGATCAATGTCAAGTTTGATCTATGTTTGATATGTGTTAATATGACATAAAAATTAAGAATTGTTGAATGTATTTATCTTAAGGGGGTTCAAAGGTTAAAGCAACTGGAACTCAATTAAAAGGGAGTGACCACTGAAGTAGAACTCCTCATGTTGTTTTTCTGTTAGCAGCAAGGATTCTGCCTTCTGTCCTTCTGTCTAAATATTAACAATACAAAAGTAAATAATTGATAGTTTAACCTGACCCAGACAAAAGAGATTTATCTGTCTGTGCAGACTAGTTATATACACTGAGTGATGACAAGAAGACCAATTTAAGTTTCTTTGCTTGTAACATGATAGCGTTGATATGTGTTCAGTTGTCGATGACAGTAAAGCCACAGTAAGTGCTTTCAGATTTGGAACAAAATGTGTATTCAAATACTTTCCTTTAACTGTGTTGTTGTCAAGAACAAATGGATGTAGTTCGCAGGCTCATGGAATGCATTCAGTGTGTTCTCACCCCATGTACTGCACACATATCTGTATACTTTTATTGTTTTGTAAAGTATTAAATCGAAATGGATATTTTACCATCCAAATAAATTGAACATAAAAATACTGGTTGTTTATTTTGCTGTGCTGCATTGAAAATAATGGAAAAAATAATAATAGGAATACAACTTTTGCAATGGAAAGAGCAGGATCCAACTCAGTTTTAAGACAACTATCAGGATTGCTGCATCATTCTGTTAAAAGTATCTTCTCCACTATACTTTTGTTTGATGAACCACCACATATGGCCATGTCTCTCCCCCCTTCATATCTTCAGTGGGGAGTATATTGTTCTTCAGTTTCTGTGTTGTGTGAGCCCTGATGTAGTCAAGGAAGCCATGACAGCAGCCATGCATCACACCCTCATCTGGCACACACACACACTGCACTGAGAGCCTCTGTTTAATGCCTGTGAGTGTGTCCTTGTGTGTCTGGGCTGGGCTATGTGGGAAAGTGTGTTTTGTGACCTTTCTTCCTCTCTAGATATAGGGTCATGCTCACCACCTCTACCACCCCATCCCCCCTCTTTCTGATCTCATCCATTTTGTGTCCCTCCCTACTGTCATAGCAAACTGGAAAACAAGCTTCATACTATACTGAAAGATGTGAGTATATATATATATATATATATATATATATATATATATATATAGATATATCTATATATATCTATATCTATCTATCTATCTATCTATCTATCTATCTATCTATCTATCTATCTATCTATCTATCTATCTATCTATCTATCTATCTATCTATATATATATATATATATATATATATTATATATATATATATATATATATATATATATATATATATTATATATATATATATATATATATATATATATATATATATATATATATAGATATAGATATAGATATAGATATACTCATCTTTCAGTATAGTATGAAGCTTGTTTTCCAGTTTGCTATGACAGTAGGGAGGGACACAAAATGGATGAGATATATATATATATATATATATATATATTTTAAGGTATTTACAGCAATTGTCATCACAAAGCAGCATCAGCATGATTTTCACAGCTTAGCCGACAATACCCAAGGGGATCATAAAACTCCAGAGTGCAAAACTTTGCCCTCTTGTGGCTTTATGAAGAATTGTAACAAGCTGTTTAGTTTGAGGACATATGTAGTGATTGTCCTGTCGTCTTTTAGATTATTTTTATTGGCTCCCCTGTTAAAAATGTCTTAAAAATAAAAAAAATTTGTACCACAGTAACATACCACTGGGAAGAAAAGCTTTAAAGAAAATTCTCTGTGCCATGCTCCTTAATACCCCAAATAATTGTAAATTAATAATTTTGTCATTTAAATTTTACTTTACATAGGTTATAAGTAATAGACTAATTATTAAGTCCCTGCTTCATTGCAGTATATGTATATATGTATGATGTGAGATAGGTCCAGACAATCATAGTGGTAAGAACAAGAAAACATGTGACTCAAGTGAGGTAGATATGTGTTAAACTTTATGTCATAATATAATATGATAATGTAATATAATAATAATAATAATAATAATAATAATAATAATAATAATAATAATAATAATAATAATAATAATAATAATAAAATATTGAACATATCTATGGACAGACCAACTATTAAAAGGTTAAAAGAAAACTATGACAAATAATGAAGAACTATTGCCTAAGTTTGTCTGGGCGCCATGCACAGTGAGGAGGATGATAAGAGAGTGAAAAAAATCATAACAATCACAGCAACCTCACAGTTGCAACTGGTGCAAAGAGGATCAATGTGTCTTCTCATCAGGCACTAGACATTATGTCTGCTTGCTACTTCATGCAAGGAAAACGACTTTTCCCTCCAAAGTTGATTGGTCTGTTTGGTGAAAAACAAAGGGTTGAATATGTGAAGATGATATTAGATCACGCAACTGTTTTTACCTTGACATTTTCAACAAATGTCTGATAGCTTTTGGTAGAAAACCGAAAACATCATTTGACCAGGTAATTGTGCTGCATAGAGGAGCAGTGGGAATCTGCGTGAAACAGTGTTTAATTAGAACTTTAAAAAGAAAAACTTGACATGTACTGGTTGTTTGGAAGTGATCCAAAGCCTCTTCTCTCTAAGAAGAATATAGCAGCACATCTTAGTTTTACTGATGAAATGGAACAGATATGAGGCCTTTTCTTTTAAAATGCAGGCTCCCTCTTAAGAGGGATCTTAAGAGAACTTTGCAGACATAATAAATACATCTAAGCCACAATCAAATGAATCAATGTAACTTAAGAAAAGGTAATTCCTCCATGACAATGGTGTAGATGAGTACTTGGAGTTATAAGCGTCAAAGGCAGTTTTAAGATCTTTAAAACTTCTTAAAACTCCTCATTTGTATAACCCCACTCTCTCTTTTCATGTCTGCAACAGTCTTTTCTAAATCCCTTTGCCAAAACATTGAAGCTGACCTTAAGCTTGACCTTCTCCTTTTTCATCATCATTAGAGAACTTGGGAATATTTTTGCTCCACTTCACTCAAATTTTCAGCTGGTGTTGAAAGAAGGCTGCTCCCGCTCTGCAATTCTTTCAGCTTATTCTGACTGATCGGGCAGCAGTTCTGATGTCAAACCCACTTGAATGTACAATCATCAGCTGCCAGCGTGATGTCAGCCAGCTGAAGGGTCAGCTCCAACACAGCAGAGCCAGCTGCCTGGCTCACAAACCAACAGAAAAATTAATTACTTATGTCACGTTCAATAACACATCAAAGAGTGCAGTTTTTTAAATTTATTATTTCTGGCATGTGAAGGATGTGTAGAGATTCGTATAATGTGTACGGGAAGAAAGCAGATTGAAACTTGATTATATAACTATATAAAAGCATCTATAGTAGCATTCATTCATCCATAACACATCAATAACTTGGCAGAATGTCTCTTGTATAACTTTCTTTTTTCATCTACTTTTACTGATGCTCTATAAAGCCATGAACCTGACACTGTCAGCTTCAGTGCCAAAATCTGTCTATGCTGCTATGTTTGTCATTCAAGCTGCAGTTAATGCAAGGATGGCTATAGATTTAACTTTAGTCCTTCCTGGCTAGTCCACCAGATCATTGGGACGTAAATATTCATCTGTTTGCATGAAAGTGACCTAAGACCTACACTGTATATGTAATATTTAGCTTTTTAGTATTATTATTGGTACTTAGGGTGTACTTTTATGAACTTCAGCATTTACCTTGCCAACTAAGTCCAACAAAGTCTGACATGTATCTTTTTGGTTTCTTGCAGTTACTCTGAGGTTTGCACAGTGCTTCACACCCATCCCCCTGAAAAGTTTGGCAGCTGTCTGAAATGTTTTACACATGTGAATAACTTTTCAATATGTAGAACAAGAAACTTTAATTTACAGTTTTCTGATTTTATCACTGCTTTTGAAGAGATAGCCACACACATAATTGGTGGTGTACAGATGGTACTTTGGGAAGCTCTGAGAGTTTATGACATAATAATCAACTTTTTTCAACTTGAATAACTGTGGACTAGATGTACTGTATTTTATGTACTTTTTGTCTAAGATTCCTCACAGCCAGAAAATTACAATTCAAATAAACAACTACAGCAAATGCATCATTTCTTGATTCAGAGAAAAAATAAAGACTGAAAAATCAAGGGAAATAAAATCTTTTTTTCAGATTTTCTGTAGGAGGTTGGACAGATTTATTTCACAGCTGAATATGTGTTAGTGGACAGACAGAATTATGGTAAGCGATAGAGCACAGCTCTTAAATGTGCAAAAAATATTTCATAAACAACCTCAAACTGAGGAGAAAGTGTTAAAGTGATAAACAAAACACTGACACATCCTCACATTAAGTTATGACTACTAAGGTGTCAAGGAAAGCATTCATATCTGCAGGATAGGTCAGAAACCAAAACACAAAGTTAGACTGAAAAACACAAGCAAGAACAGATAAAAAAGATGACAGATAAAAACATATCAATTTGAAATCTTGTGGGTGATTGATATTCAGAATTAACCAACAAAACCAAAACATTACAAAATATTTAACTCGCACCACATGTCCAGTCTAATATAGATTTAAAAATGTAGCTCAAACTTTAGAGATTCTGAAGATCCAAGTTATTTATCAAGATGTAAAGAAAAGTTGAGAGGGCAAAACAATGAAAAGTTCTTCCCACGTTATCTGTACTGTTACATGATACACATTTGTGTTTCTCTGCATGCTGAGATTTCAAAACAACAAGATAACCTGAGCTGATTTCTATACCTAGCCAGGAAAAACATAACTTTTGACCCCTGTGTTTTAGCAGAAGAAATGATGAAATAGATCCCACATGTGTTCGGAAACAAACATGCATATCAGTGAAACCCTGCTCTGGCCTGAAACCTTTTGATTCTTTAGAGATTAAACTAACAGTGGAAGCCTGAAACTGACGGGAAGGCTGCCAGCCCTCTGTTCCAGGCTGTCACCCATCAGGTCAGACACACGATGAACTATCAAAGACAACCAGACCCAGCTGGATGTCACGACATGTTTGGTGCTGGTGGCATCTCAGGAAGACAGTGACAAAGTAGTTGCAGAAACAACAAAGAAAAAGAAAGAAGGTATGATCAGGAAGGTGTCTGACATCATTTGTTGGACCAATTAAATAAATACATTTAAATATATATTTTTATTTTTATTTTTTATTTGATATGTTTTACCCTTTGCTTTTCAAAGATTGTATTTTGATTTGGAGATTCATCTGTGAGTATAACCATGCTTCTTGTCGTTACAGGCCTCTAGATGGCAGTATTTGAGAGCATTTTGTGCAGTGCGCAACAAAACTTCAATTGTAAAGGCTTAAAACATGTTTTATGTTTTTTTTTAATTTTTTTTTATTTTTTTTTAAGCTAAATGTGATTTTGCATGCCTGATTTAAGCTCTGAAGTTTATTCTCAATTATCAGGTCAAGGTTTTAGCTTCTATGTGCACATTCAGTCAAGATTTCTGTTGCAAAACACAGCACATGCAAACAACAGTTGGGATTGTTTTTTGTTTTCAGGTAATTGGGTGAACAATTTCTGAGATTTCACCTCACATGTGTTTCTTTGCTGTTCAGATCAGCCAGTATTATGTTCAGGTGCAGAAGCTCGTAGATTAGCATTTTTCTACACCTGTGCTCTCCTAATTCTTTTTCTAACCTCCTTCCTCTTTGGAGGTAAACTGCACCTGCTTCAATTCACAAACATTTTCTTCATTCAAAGAGGATGGGATACTTTCTTAATTCTTTCTCTTTAATATTTAAAATCTCTGATTCCACGCTACTTTTACAATTCACTTCATACCAACATTTAAAAACCCACAATGCACAATGGAATTTATCCAGTATATCCATATCTGCAGGTGAAGGTGTGTGTCTTTCTAAACTGGGAGACAAACAACAACAAATGCAAATACACAAGCACTTAAGAGGTAAAATACATAATAGAAAAAAATGAAAGTAGTCTTAGAAACAGTTGTTGAAAACACAAAGAAAAGATTAAAAGCTAAAATGTGTGTCAATATCTTCAATATGTCACTCAAAAAGCTTTGTGGATTAAGTCTACACAGGCCCAGTTTCCACCTCAATATTATTTGCTTTTTATGCAAATGAAACAGCAACAACTGAAACCTTTGATCTGTGCCTCTTTGTGGAGGCAACTGTTGATGCTGGAAAAAGCCTTGTGACATAATGGGAAACCAGAGCCAGAATGGGAGCATGGAGACTTCAAATAGATTTGCTGAAACCTGATATCTTCTTATGAGATGTAAATGAAGAGCAGCTGTTTCACCACCTGCATTAAATCTCAATACATCTAAAGGTTAATGGCAGTGTCTGCAAAGAACTGGCAGTGATGTTACTGCAAAATAAGTACTTAGTGTTGAGATAAGGTAATTTATTGGGCGGTCAAATCAATCTAAGTGTCTTTCAACCTGTGAAGATGATAAGTTTGAAAAGAAAAAAAAACCCACAATTATTCTGATTTTTGCTGTAGATTTCAAAGTAAATGTGTGCATTTTATTGTTAATAACTACACTTTCACCTCCTTAACTTTAGTCTTTCTGCTGTGAACAGAAAATTTTGAACAAATTTTTTAAAAGTTTTACTGTGACCATGATGTACTGCAAATTAAGGCATCCAGGCAATTTATTAAAAACTCAGTCCCACCTCAAAGCAATCAAGACCTTGTAAACATACAAAGAATGCCTTGGATGGAAGTCATGCTAATACTACTACTACTACTACTATACTACTACTACTACTACTACTACTACTACTAATAATAATAATAATAATAATCTTTTTGCATTAAAATATCTCATTGTCGTTTTTATGCACTCTTTTTAACCCCAATCAGTGGACAGAGACACACATTAAGCTTCAGAGAAAATATTTATTTTATGCCTGAAAGGATAATGTCAAGGTGAATTCAGACAGCCACTCTGAGTATTTTATTAAGCTGTGTGCCCTCATCCTTCAATGAGTCATCCTTTGATTTCCTTTTCTAAAGATGCCAGTTTAAAACTGAATAGCACAGAAATACAGAAAGGCTTCTGGTATAAAAAGAAAATATTTCTGTCAGGATTTAGAAGAACAAAACAAATTCAGATCTTAAACAAACTATAAGCTAGAGGGCAATACCAAGGCATAGAGACACATGTCAGCAACAACAGCTGTTAAAGAGTGCATGCTCATTTTAGTGGAGGAAGCCTGTAGAAAAACAGACCGCGAGGAAGGATTCTGCGACTGGGAATGGATTCTAGTAAGCCTGCTGTCCCATGTGTGTGAAAAGCTTGTCCCATACCTCCACCTTCATGATGGCATTGCCCATGGGACACATAGTGGCTTTGATGTCAAGGTAGTTACCCACATAATTGATTCCTGAGCCATTGGCTTCCCCTCTGACAAAACCATGCTCATGCTCTTTCTTCTCATAGTACATTTCTTTGAATAAATCCTTATCACAGTTGCGACCCTTTTTATAGACGCCCACTGCAAACCAGTTCTTGTACAGGTTGTAGTCCCAGGGAACTGAAAACATGATGGCCAGGGTCTCGATGTAGTCATTCTGGGACTTCTCGAAGAGATCGTAGGTCATGACACCAACACTCCCGGTTGCTTTTCCACCAGACTTAGTGAAAGTGCACACCTCTGTCTTTAGGGGGCGTACGGTAGGTTGAGGTGGATTGAACACCTCTCCATTTTCAAGGAAGGCTCTAATAACAAAAATAAGAACAAACTGTTGAAACAGATACTTACATATAATACATCAAACTCAAAATCCATTTTCTTACTGGGTAACATTAAGTCACAATAACCCTTTCCTGTCTGGATCAGTAAGAATTACCAGAATTATTTACTAAATTTAACAGTTCACTTCCAAAATTTTGTATACCAAGGATATCCTTCTTTTAAAGTTTAAGGGAGCCCGGATGAAGTCTGATGACTTTTAAAGCTTCCGATAGGTTCATAGACAATATCTGAGTTAACAAATATTAACAATAACATAGATCAACTGCAATTGATGTACGTAAAGGTCTCCAGCACTGTTTCTTCTTAATATCTTGGACTGTTTCAAAAGAAATCATGCAAGATATTAAGAAGGGAATTGTGGGCATAAACAAATCTGGTTCGTATTGCATAGCATGTGATGATAAATGTTATGGGTATGTCTCTTCATAGAAAATATGCAAAATTAAATTAGAATTAGAATTGGAATTAATCTTAATTAATTCTAATTCTAATTAGAAAATTGTTTATTATTTTTCAAATGTTTCTAATTAGACAAAATAATTAGATCATGCGAATATGTTGGCTAAAGTTAGTAAAACTCTACCAATATAGCCTGAAAGATATGACAAAAATATATTAAGAGAAATCAACAAATTGCTTACTTGGGATTGATAAGGCAGTAGTTATTTGTGACATTTGAGATTTCAATAGTCACGCTTCTCTTGCTGGTCACATCAGCCGCCACAGCCTCAGCCGATTCCGTCATGCTGCAACAATTATGAGATCTATTTGAAAGACAAAAATATTTCCGATAGAGTCAAACAACATGAAAGTCATGGCTACTGGTATTTTTTAAAATACTTTGATTGATTTTCATTTTACCAACATAAAGTACAAAAAAAATAAAATAAAAATAAAACGAAACCAATGGAATTTAGGTGAAATTTACCTTCCTCATGATAATGAGGCTAACGTTTTATAGCTCATACTCTGTTAAGACTTTATATTAAACTTAAGAGTTAACAAGATAATAAATGCTGATGTAATAAATACATCAGTTTTTCAGTTAGTTTCCAAAAATAATACTCTTTAAAACACACAAAATACCTATCAAAAGCAAAAGCAATTTGTAAGTACTTTTAACTAAGAATAGTGATTTTAGAAACTTACCTGTGAACAAAGTCCAAGTATTCCAAAAGTAAAATGGGAGAAGTCGGAAAAGACACCTGAATGGGAGGAGCTGTTTTTTTTTCCCTATTTTTCAGGATATTCCCCTCCCTCTTGCAACATAACATAATTTAGACCAAGCACACCCTATTTCCACATACATATGTTAGTAAGTTTGGGCCTACACAAAAGAGTACTGCAAAAATATGAATGTGGTTAATACCTGTATCATCACACAACCACACCCTTTCTTGGATCCGTCTCTAATCCTTTCCCTTTGGATCTCTTTGTTGCTAACTCTGCACATTTATCCTGTCCTGTCTTTTTTTTTTCATAAAACCCATCTGAGAGAACCTTATTCCTTTTTCACTGAGCAACAGAAAAAAAGTAAACAAGGCAAGTCTAGGCACACATCTCTGGAGCCTCCTTACTGAAGCTGTTGTTTTCCAAGTTCCACACAAACAGCAAGATGAAAAGTCTCCAAGCCAGTGAAGAACCGTGTTGTTATTGCGCAGATTAAAAAAAAAAACATCCATGCCAGCTTTCCATCTGTTGCCGCTCATTAGTGTTGGATAGATCCAGATAAGAGATTAAATAATAATTACTGTTCATCAGTAATAATGCAGGCTACAGAGTGAGAACATACTCCACACAAAGCAACACAAGCATTGGGTCTGAAAGTTTTATTACCATAATCAAAGAGAAGAGAGAGTACAACGTACATGAGTCCAAGACATTAGCTAATGGGAAATCAATGAGCTGGCTGTCAGATATTGATATCTCTCAGCAGACGCAAAATAGAAATGACAGCAAAATCAGTCTTCCTCTCCTGAATGCATTTTTTTTATTATTTCAAGATGACAAGAGTGGTCACATCAAACACATTCTGTTCACTCTATGGACATAAAAACAACAAAGAGTTTAAGAATAAAACCCAGCCGACCTGCACACTAACGGCCCATTTTATCATACAGCTCCACCTTAACAATAGCTTTCCCTGTTGTAGACATTGTGGCTCTTAAATCAACATGTGCTGCTTTATATTCCAGCCCACACCCGTTTGCCTCAGAGCGGGTGAAGTTGCTGAGATCTTTCCCGTCATACATCTGGTCGTACAAATGTTTGTCGCAGGCCCGGGAATGCTCGACCACACCTATAGCCAGCCGGTTCTTGTAAATGTTGTGGTCGAAAGGCACAGAGAACATGAGGGCCATGCGCTCCGAACAAACCCGGCTTTGCATGTGGAACAGGTCGTAGGTTAGCAGACCGACCGCACCGGTGGCGGTATTGTCATCCTTAGTGAAGGAACACACTTCTGTCTTTTGGGTGCGAACTGTGGGCTGGGGTGGGTGATATGAAAAGCCACTTGTCATGTAAATCCTACAAAGGAAAGCAAGTTACAAATTAATATTTGAGACATTTCAACAATGTTGCAATGAAAAAAATGAGACAAAAACTTTGCAACATTTCCTATAGCTTGGGGATGCTCTTTCTGAGTGTTGGGGTGGAAAAACAGTGTACACTGTGTACACTGACAGATGGAGTATGACTGGAGGTGCACTGCTGTGGACTTCTAAGCAAAAGTGATTCTACCTGCATGCGATGTGCAATGAGGCAGGGTGTGTCAGTGCATGATAGATTGGTAGATGTTCCCAGCAACATAATGTCACATATGAAAATCACCCATCCAAAATATGGCCAGTCCTGACAAATCTAGACAAATGCAGAAACATGACACACATGGCAAAAACTTGATGTGCATTCTGGTGCTGTTTTGTGCAACTCACTCTTTTTTCTTTTCTTTTTTTTTTTTACATTACCAGTGCCTTTTAAAAGTATTGACATTCCTTAAATCTTTTCATATTTTGTAATTTTATTTTTAAAAAAAACCCCAGAAAGTATGATTTGTTTTCAATTTTTACAACTAATAATCTAAGAAGTGTGCATGTACTACATGCAGGAATAAAGCCATTTTTAAAGAAAGATCTAGTATGTCCCATTAACAGTTTGCCACAAGTAATATGGAACACAAAACAAATATGGAAGAAGTTACTTTGAGCAGGTGAGACCAAAAAATTTAACTCTCTTGGCTGAACCCAGCATTCCTGCCATGACACATGTTGGTGAAAGTATCATGCTGTTGGGATCACTTTTCTCAAAAGGGATCAGGTGTCATAAGTGCTAACTACAAAACTACAGGACAATCCTGATGAAAGAAAAAAACTTTTGCTAACTGCAAAGCATTTGAGTCTTGGAAGCTGGAACAATAATAAAAACAGAGCTACAATATCCTAAATTAGATTTATTATTCTTCAGGTGAAGTTTAGAATAAATATCTGAATAACTCCTCACAACAAATTATGTTTTGTCACAGCACATTTAGAAAAACAGAAACAAAAGAAATATTTCTACACAATGTGTGTGTAATACAAGCTGTTCAAACAGGACAAATGTTCCATCATTTATCTACAGAAAAGATAGAATTTGAACATTTACAGTCAAAGCACATTCACATACTAAAATGCACCAACCAAGTCCAGACATAGAGGCAACTGAGAATCTGTAGTGTTATTCTTGGATGCTCTCTATCCAATATGACTAAGCTTGAGCAACATTGCAAACAAGAATGGGCAAAGATTTCAGGCTTTCAATGAGCAAATCTGGCAGAAACTCACCCATGAAGACCTGCAGTTACAATTGCTGTCAAAAGTGAGTCTACAAAGTATTGACATTTCTCAGATATGTCTTTGAAAATAGTTTTGAAAACCAGGTTTCATTTTCCTTTTACATTAAATTATTCCATGTTGTTGTGTCCAAATTGTCTCAGATTGTAATATGAAAAAAAATAAATTTCAAGGGGGTGTGAATACTTATGCAAGTTTCTGTGTCACCTTTGTCTGCCTGACTGTTCTGAATGCAAATGAAAACATGTATCTTTCAGTGAATATGAAATTAAAACAAGTGTGATTACTTTTTAAACAGTTAAATATAAAATTACATGGAGTTTTCAAATGTCATTGCTATGAATTTAACATCAAACATTACTGTGCTACACAGTAAATGAAAATGCACTGTGATCTAACCACCTCATTGGGGTTAGATCTCAAATGTACTTTCAATCAATTCTTTACTGTAAGTTGTAAGCTTAGTGATGCAGTTGAAGACTTACTTTGGGTTAATGAGACAGTAGTTGCCGCTGACATTGGTTATCTCTATGGTGCAGTGCCTGTTGGTTGTAAGAGTGGCGGACACAGCCTCTGCTGTTTCAGGCATCTTGACTGCAAGAGAATTATGAGTGAAAGCTCAGTTTGTAGATCCAATAGAGCAAAACAAATGTATGTGTTTTCTATTTAGATACTCAGAAAACATGAGTAGTATTTAAGATGATGGCTGGATGAGAAGAAACAAAGGTCAAGAGCGAGCTTTTACTGTCACACGAACTAGCTGAAGAGATCAAATGTAGGCAAAGTAGGTGTGCTAACATCAAAATAGAGGAAGAGAAAAACGATTCACAGTACTTATAAAACTTTTTCTACACAATAAATCAGGTGACATTTTCCTATTACTGAGTGTGATTATTATATTTACCTTTTAGAAATTCACACCAGTGTTGTGCCAGACAGCAGCGTCAAGTTCTTTCCTCAGATCCTGGAGAGAGTGTATCTTGTGTGATTACACCTCCACAGCGCTTGTTCAAACACAGGCGTGTCCACACTATCAGTTATTAGAAAATTCTGGCTAAAAATGATGTGGTGCTTTGGGCACCTGCTATTCTATAAATGCTGCATGGTAATCATCATGGAGGATTTGAAATAGGTGAATCTTAAAACATATAAATTAATTAGAAAACATAACATCTTGATCATTGTCAGGTTTCCATGTGAATCACAGATGAGATGTATTATAGAAGATCTTTAATTTTTAAAATATTTTTATGTCTTTCATAGTTTCTCATACTTTAATTGATTGTCTTTTAGATGTTTTAAAGAAATCCTTCCATTCCTGTAGTAGGAAGTGAAACACTTCATCTTCCATCTTGTTTTGTGTAAAACTATATTTTCCCAGGCATTGCTCAACTGGTTATTTTGCTGCAGGTGAGGGCTAGCAACAGATTCCTGTGGGAACCTCCTGAAATCATTCACAGATTTCAACACCCTGTCTACATCTAGGTCTTAAATGTATACTCCTCTCCCAGAGGATTGGAGAGTTGTGAAAGAGGCACTCCTGTTTTCCCCGTTGACTTCACAAACAAGACTTTATGCAACAACTAACTATAGCATCAGCAGTATATCTGAACACTTCCCAATTAGAGATGTTTTGCAGTACAGTCTTTTAAGAAGCACACATAATACCCCAGCAGCTGTTCTCTTGTTGTCTAAGAACCCTTCAATTTCAAAATTCGAAGTCACCAGATGGCACCAAACATGCATCTGCAAAAACACATTTGTACTGCACAGAGTTTGTCAGGTTAAGTCATTTCTAACTTCAGACATTCAGCAATTCCATTAAGGAAATTTCAAATATTGCAAACAGAAAATCCCTGACATCTATTAACAATAGTAGGTTTTTATGTGTCACAGTGTATGCATTCTTTTAAACACATTTCCCAGGATATTAGGACAATCCAAACATAAAAGAAATGCATTCTCAGAGAAATTATCTTAAATTGGAATCTGCCTGGTTGAGCCTTAAATGTGCAAAATGACCTTAACACACAGGAATGGCTTCCTCAGTTTGACCTGTCTTCTGCTGCCACCCTGAGGCCAAATTTTAGGGATTTCAGATACAGCATTTGCCAAATCACTCTTTTAATGATAAAAATGATCCTATAGAGACATAATGACCTGCACTGAGTATTATGTCTCTTCATCTGCACTCACAGGGGTTAACAGTGTTCATCCTATATTCTGCATGACCTGCCTTTTAAGAACTCATCTCAGGGCAAATTACATCCTTATGAAGCAGGTGCGTTAAATTTAATCACACTCAGGTTATCTTTGTGAGAATAGTTAGTAAGAGGTAATTAAGAGGGTGACAAAAGGAAATAATATGAGCACTCTCAATCAGCGTGATGCTGAGACTTTCATAGTGTTATGACAAAGATAAATGTATGCTGAGTACATAACCATATTTAATCACAGTGGCTGCGGTATCAGTAAATCAACCTCATGCCACTTGTGTCGCACCTTTTAGTCCATTAGACACCTTTTTTTGACAGCATTATGTTTTATGTACTTCTGTTGTTTTTAATTTTACTGACACTGTAAATCATTCGAAAGAATA